AGTTAACCCAGAGCTGATGGGATGAGGGCTGCAGGGACGCAGGCTAGATGTAGACGTCCCCTGCTGCTGTGGCAGCATCAGGGTGGCCTGGAGAGAAAGCACTGAGTGTGACTCTTTCCTAGCGTGCCCAGGGTCTTGCTTAGTTTCCCGGCAGTCGGAGGCGGTTTCCTATCAGCAGCAGGTAGAGTGAACCCTGAGAGACCTTTCACTACATGGTCCACAGAGAATTCTGTTGAAAATGCAAGATAAGTATCGCTGTCACTGCCGTGATTCTAGAAGAGTAGTGCTAGCCCTGTCCTGCCACATTATGTGGCCTACACTTGATGTCACATTGATTTCCCACTCCTTGGCCGACACCCTGCACCCTGTTCAGGCACTCATTATTCACTGAGCTGAATTCAGTAACTGCTGGAGGGTCTGTGGGTGGGGACCAGTACTTAGAGCACGGTGGTCGTACCTACCCCTGGTGTGTCCCCAGGATAGCTGCTGCCCCTTGCTTGGTCCCATTCTCTAGCTGAGCGCCTCGGGCATCCCCTGGTGAGTCTGCAGGTGCTTGTGAATGGAATGCCCATCAAGATCTAGGCTAAATGCTAGCACGTGAGCCGGAGCTGTGCCACAGAGTTCCCGAATGGTTGGAAGGTGCACCTTGGAGAATAGGGAACTGTCAGTCAGGTACCCTGTGCCAAGTAGCGCAGATTTAAAGATTTGATTTTCCTAGATAGCTGAGCAGAGATTTTTATCATCAGCAGTAAATGCAGCCAGCGTGTCATTGCCATGGCAGCGTTTGTGGAATTAATTGAGCTCTGAGTTGACAGGACACCAGCATAGGGATATCTAAGAACCTTCTGCTTGTTTTTAGATGAACTGTGTATCCAGGGTCTCTGTGAGCCAAGAACATTGCCCTCTGCTAGGACTCTTTGTTTTTTTTCTTTTTCTTTTTTTAAATCAGGCAATTTAGTAAAAAGTTTCCATTGATAAAGAGTTTCTGTCATGCTTAGTAGGACTGGCGATATTTGTGTTAATAAGACTAAGACTGGGGTAAGAATCATGGGAGTCAGGTTTTCTCTGCTTGTGTAGGAATGTGGGAGAATCCCTAGGTTTAGCTCAAGATTGGTATTGAGCCAGTCTCCTAGGAATCTTCTCCTATACCTCTCTTCCCGATTGTCCACTAGGGCAAGTTTTCTTGCAGAACACTCCCTGTACTGTAAGTGCCTCTCTCGACCTCAGTGCACAGAATCCTGTTTCACATCTGCCAGTGGAAATACTTGTCATGAAGCAAACATTGCATCACACACCTTTAATCCCAGCACTCAGGAGGCAGAGGCGGCCTCAGTTCCACAACAGCCAGGGTATCACACAGAAACCCTGTCTTGGAGAAAGAAAAACAAACCAGTTATTCCGCAGCACTTAGGGTTAAATACTGTGAGTAGAAACTTAAGATTTTCATGTTGGCAAAAACCTCATAGAAATCCCAAGATCTGTGAAACTAATTATTTTTAAAGATTATTATTTTAATTTATTCGTTATGTATAATGTTCTGGCTGCATGTATGCATACAGACCAGAAGAGTACACTGGATCAATCATTGCAGATGGCTGTGAGTCACCATGTGGCTGCTGGGAATTGAACTCAAGAGCAGCTGGTACTCTTAACCTTTGAGCCATCTCTCCAGGTCCTGTTTTTAATTGTATGTATGTATGTCTTTGTGGGTATGTGCACATGCGTGCAGGTATCCGGGGAGGCCAGAGGTGTCTGAGCCTCTTGGAGCTGGAGTGGTCGTGATCTGCTTGAAGTTGGTGTTGGGAACCAAACTTGGGTTCCCTGCAGGTGTGTTCTTAGGTGCTGAACCGGTGCTCCAGGCACTGCCCACCACCATGACCAGCATTGCGGGAGGCCGGGTCATGAGGACTGAAAGCATGCACAGGGCCCTGGGTTTGGGTCTTACTGTAGTGTGAAACAAAATCTTCTTGTCTAAAAAAGGGGGTGGGGCTGGAGAGATGGCTGATTAAGAGCCCAGGCTGCTTTTGCTGAGAGTCTGCATTCAGTCCTCGGTACTCACATCAGGCAGTGGACAACTGCACACCTCTCCGGGCAGTTCTCTGAGCTCCGTCTGCAAGTACCTGTGTTCACATGCTGCTACCCACACACGGACAAACACGTAATTACACATAAAACGTTTCTCTGCATTTTATTTTATGTGTAAAAGTGTTTTTCCTGCCTGCAGATATGTGTACCACATGCTGTCTGGTGCAAGGAGATCAGTAGAGGAATTGGAATTCCCCTGGAATTGGAGTTTCACGTGGTTCTAAGCCATCATGTGGGCTCTGGGAACCAAACCTGGGACTTGCAGAAGAGTGGCCTCGCCTCAGCCAGCGAGAGATCTCTCCTAAAAACAAGCATGTTTACTTAAAATAAGACTTAAAAAACACTGGGTTCAGTTCTGTGGTGGAGCATTGTGGTTGCTCGGTGCTTGAGGTCAAACATGCTTGAGGCCCTGGATTCAGTATCTGTCATTGGGAAAAGTCCTTCTTTCTGGCAAACAGCCAAGCAAAAGAACTCTATAGAGTGTTTATAATCCGTCAGCTCAGCCTCAGACCCTCGGAGAAAGTGCCTTTGGAGTGTGTCGCCCTACAGTGCAGTGGGAACTTGGTCCCTCGAGAGCACCCGTGACAACGGAATAAAAGGCCCACAGCATTACCTCCTCTATGCAGAAGGACAAATGCTTGTTGGCCTGGCGGTGGTGGTGCAGGCCTTTAATCCCGCAGAGCTAGACAGGTCCCTGTGAATGCCAGGCTGGCCTGGCCTACACAGAAAACAAAACAAAATGGACTTGTTTAGTATAGCCCCGCTGTTAAGTGCTTACTATTGTTTGGCTCTGTGCTCGGTGTGCATCATCTCATCGTGTCTCACAGTGATCTTGCTGCAGGACATAGAAACTGTGGCATCAAAGGTCACACAGGGAGGCCCTGATGGGTGTCTGGGCACCTGCACACTTTCTTACCTCAGCCTCCTGGCTTCATAAAGCCAGTGGTTTTTTGTTTTTCTTGCACACACACACACACACACACACACACACCACCACCACCACCACCACCACCACCACCCCCTACTGGACGAAACCAAAGGTCTTGAATCTATTTGGCAAGCACCGTACCACAGTGCTCCACCCAGCTCCCAGGGTTCCTTCTCTTAGGCAGAGATTAGACAGTGGTAAAACTTTAATCACTCGTGTTGTGTGGCTATTGTCCACTAATTGTCCCTACCACCCAGGCAAGCATTGATCTGCTTTCTGGAACTACAATAGATATATTTTCTAGAATTTTTACATATGTGACATTAAATAACCAGGCCTTTTGGTTATTTCAATCTGGTGTCTTTCATTCTACAGCTATTCTAAGGTTTAACAGCTTTCCCTCTCCCCCCCCACCTCTTAAATATGTTGTTATATAGCCTAGGATGGCCTTGAACTTCTGATTCTACTGCTACCTCCCAAGTGCTGGGACTTGTAACATGTACCACTGTGGCAACCTTTAAAATGAATCTGTTTGTTTAGTTTAGTTGTTTATTTAGTGGGGGCAGTGTTGGGGATCAAACCCTGGGTCTTCTGCCTATTAGCAAGCACTTTAACACTGACCTAAGTTCCCAACCACCTCGGTTTTTTTTCCTTTGACAGTCTTATCCAAGGATTATAGATAGCATTACTACATCCTGCTAGCATCTAAGTTCAGGTGTAGGTCTATAATTTCCTTCCTCCCTCCCTCCTTTCCTCCATCCCCCCTCCCCTTTTGGTTTTTTGACACAGGGTTTCTCTGTGTAGCCCTGGCTGTCCTATAACTCCGGCTGGCCTAGAATTCACAGCATCCTTATGTCTCAGTCTCCTGAATCTTAGGGTATTAGTTAGAGCCTCCATGCCTGCCTGACTCATGATTCATTTTCAATTAATTTTGTATGGAGCTTGAGGTTTGAGTTAAAATTTATTTACTCAAGCTTTATTACATATAGATATACAGTTGTTTAGAATTATTAGATGGGAAATTCTCCTTTTGCCCCCAGATTGTCCTTGCGTCTTTCTCAGAAGTCACGTGTCCTTCTGAGTATAGATAATTCTCTTCAGATGTCCAGTTTGAGACAGGTAGCAACCAGGAAGGCAAACAGTGAGGTCCAAAATAGTGAGTGGACTTGTGCTGGGGATGTGGAGAGAGCGGTGGGCATGTTCCTCTGGGGTGAAGGGAGGAGACATCCCTGAGGCCCTTTTCCATAGTGCTTATTCTGTCCCAAAGGAGGCTGGATAGTGCAGTCCTTAGCCAGCACTCTTGGAGACGCTCAGGAGAGGTGCTCGTCTGCTGGCTGTGGAGAGAAGCTTTACTGGTGATGGCAACACTGAGATGTCCCAGAGCCAGAGTCACCTACAGAATTTTAACTCCGTGAACTCTGTGAGGGTCTGTGCCAGCCCGTGTGGAATGTCAATCAAGAGTTAAGTCCTGGCAGTGGGAGAGTGGCCAGCCTGCTGCTGTGCCCCTGCTACTTTGTACCTCAGGGAAACTGCTCCTAGGCGATACATGCTGAAGCCACCATAGCCACAAGCCAGCATTCCTATCTGAGAGCAGTGAGATGTAGACCAGGGGAGAGGGGTGGCCTTCTGTGGTTGGGCAGCCATGGCATTTCTTCACGTTCATTTGGTCTCTCACCTGTTCCCTGGAAGATTTTGCCCAGCCCTACCAGCTTGGTCTCTGTTAGCCCTATGGACAAGAATCCTGGAACTATCCTTTAAGAATAGGATCCTTCCTGGGTCTAGCCTGAGCCCTTTCTCAAGGAGTAGGAAGATGGGACCGGTTGACCCTCACCCAGATGTTACTGTATTCGTATGGTGCATTTCTGCGTGGGCAGAGTTGTTTGGACAACAGAGCATTGACCATGGCTCCTTTGTGCTGTCCCACCCATCCGGGCTTAGTGCAGTGTATCGGAACACACAACTATTCAAAATGGTTTCTGTTTCTTAGGCCCTCCTGGCAGGCATGCGCAGCCGTGAGAACAGCTCACCCTGCCAGGGAAATGGAGAGCCAGCCAGCAGGGGCAGGAGCGGGAGCTGTGTGTTGTCTGAAGAAGAACCTTCCGGTGAGGCCACCACCCCTTCCTACAAGAAGCCTCTGTATGGCATCTCCCACAAGATCATGGAGAAGAAGAACCCTCCCTCGGGAGACCTGCTCAGCCCCTATGAGCTCTTTGAGAAGGCAAACTCCAGTACCAGCCCCTCTCCTCTGCGCCTGCTGAATGAGTCTCAGAAAAGGGAATGTGGTATTGGGGTGGCCACTGATGGGGAGCCCAATATCTACGTCCTGATCCAGAAGATGCTATACATGCTCAACACGCTCACATCTAACATGTCCCAGCTTCACAGCAAGGTGGACCTGCTCTCCCTCGAGGTGAACCGCATCAAGAAGCAGGTGAGCCCTTCTGAGCTGGTGGCCAAGTTCCAGCCTCCCCCTGAGTACCTGCTCACTTCTGCCGAGCTGAAGCAGATCGTGGAGCAGAGCCTGTCCTGCGGCGACCTAGCCTGTCGCCTCCTCGTGCAGCTATTCCCCGAGCTCTTCAGCGACGTGGATTTCTCCCGTGGCTGCAGTGCCTGCGGCTTTGCCGCCAAGCGGAAGTTAGAGTCGCTGCACCTGCAGCTCATCCGGAACTATGTGGAGGTCTACTACCCCTCTGTAAAGGACACAGCTGTGTGGCAGGCCGAGTGCTTGCCACAGCTGAATGACTTCTTCAGCCGCTTCTGGGCCCAGCGGGAAATGGAAGACAGCCAGCCAGGCAGCCAGGTCACCAACTTCTTTGAAGCAGACCAAGTGGATGCCGGCCACTTCCTAGACAGCAAGGACCAAGAAGAAGCTCTGTCTCTGGATCGCAGTAGCACCATCGCCTCGGACCACGTGGTGGACACCCAGGACCTCACCGAGTTCCTAGATGAAGCCTCCTCCCCAGGTGAGTTTGCTGTGTTCCTCCTGCACCGGCTCTTTCCGGAGCTGTTTGACCACCGGAAGCTGGGCGAGCAGTATAGCTGCTATGGCGAGGGTGGTAAGCAAGAGCTGGATCCGCAGAGGCTGCAGATCATCCGCAACTACACGGAGATATACTTCCCCGACATGCAGGAGGAGGAGGCCTGGCTGCAGCAGTGTGCCCAGCGCATCAACGATGAGCTGGAGGGCCTGGGGCTGGAGGGGGCCAGCGAGGGCGAGGCCCCGCGGGATGACTGTTACGACTCCTCCAGCTTACCAGATGACATCTCAGTGGTCAAGGTGGAGGACAACTTCGAGGGCGAGCGGCCTGGCCGGCGCTCCAAGAAGATCTGGCTGGTGCCCATTGATTTTGACAAGCTGGAGATCCCACAGCCTGACTTCGAGATGCCAGGCTCAGACTGCCTGCTGAGCAAGGAGCAGCTGCGTAGCATCTACGAGAGCAGCCTGTCCATTGGCAACTTTGCCTCCCGCCTGCTGGTGCACCTGTTCCCGGAGCTCTTCACCCACGAGAACCTGCGCAAACAGTATAACTGCAGCGGCTCCCTGGGCAAGAAACAGCTGGACCCCGCCCGCATCAGGCTGATCCGACACTACGTGCAGCTGCTCTACCCTCGAGCCAAGAACGACCGTGTGTGGACTCTGGAGTTCGTGGGCAAGCTGGACGAGCGCTGTCGACGCAGGGACACGGAGCAGCGGCGCTCCTACCAACAGCAGCGCAAGGTCCACGTGCCTGGCCCCGAGTGCCGGGACCTAGCAAGTTATGCAATCAACCCCGAGAGGTTCCGAGAGGAGTTTGAGGGGCCCCCGCTGCCTCCTGAAAGGAGCAGCAAAGACTTTTGCAAAATCCCCCTGGACGAGCTGGTGGTCCCCTCGCCCGACTTTCCGGTGCCTTCCCCTTACCTGCTGTCGGACAAGGAGGTCCGTGAAATCGTGCAGCAGAGCCTGTCAGTGGGCAACTTCGCTGCCCGCCTCCTGGTCAGGCTCTTCCCTGAACTCTTTACGGCTGAGAACCTTCGACTGCAGTACAACCACTCCGGGGCTTGTAACAAGAAACAGCTGGACCCCACGCGGCTGAGGCTTATCCGCCATTACGTGGAAGCCGTCTACCCCGTGGAGAAGATGGAGGAGGTGTGGCACTATGAATGTATACCCAGCATCGATGAGCGGTGTCGCCGCCCCAATAGGAAAAAGTGCGACATCCTCAAGAAAGCCAAGAAAGTGGAGAAGTGACAGGGCTGAGGCTGCCCAGTGACTTGGGTCACCGCAGGCTGAGCAATGGGTGCGCTTGGGACTGAGCATCCGCCGGAGCTCATGTATGGTACCCACAGACAGGCACCTTATGTCAGTGGGGAGTGGTTTCCTACATTTGCACACGTAAACACCTACCCAGCCACGAGAAAGAAGCCTTCCATTTGGTCTCTTGTATTCATGACTTTGTTCTGTGTTCCTTGGTGGGCACAGCCAGAGTTTGGGAGTAGCCAAGCTGTGAAATCAGAATTGATAGGGTAAGGTCCCCTTTCAGGGCTGGGGAGCCCTCCTTAGCCCTCACAATTCAAAATACAAATCTAAACTAGACAGTAGTGGTTGACACCTCTAGGCCAGAGGCCATTGGACTTGAGTGAGATCAAGGGCAGTCTAGTTTACATAATGAATTCCAGGGCAGCCAGGGCTACATAATGAGACCCCCGTCTCAAAAACAACATTCAGCAGCTTGTTCCTCCCCATGTTTTACATATTCCTTTTTAATCTTTGTTTTATTTTTAATTAAAATGAAATCCTTTTAAAGAAAATCATTGGGCTCTTTGGGAGCCATTTTATGTAGAAGAAAAATCTTAAAATATTTGAGATGAGATACTGTAAGATTACTTCGCTTGCTGGGATTTTTAAAGATGATTTTAGATTTAAGCATTTTTTTTTTTTTTTAAAGATGCCATATTCAGGCATTATGGGTAACTGTGGCTTCGGGTGTGTTTGACATCTGATTTTGGAAGAGCCCCGAGGCCCCTTGCATTCAGCAGATGGGATGGGGTATAAGAAATATAAGCAGTGTGTAGCCCCATGATACTGTATGTGACTTCCCTTCTGCCGGGGCCCTCAGAAAGGTTACCTGTGGCGCAGCCTGCCTGCCGCTGCCGTGCGGTGCTCACTGTATGTATAGACGAGAACACTGGAAGAAGATTTGAATGTAGATAGGCGTGGAGGCATAGTTCACAGTCTTCACCCCGTCCTTCCGCAGCCCCGTCCCCTCTCCACACGCACGCACATGCTGCATGGGAGGGACAGATACATTGGAACACAATGTGCAGGGACATCTTGTGTGACTTACGGGTGAGCTTCTTTTGGGTTCACCAGGAACTGTTTACTTTCCATGTATTTGTACAGAGTCCCTATCCCCAGACCTTAGTGTTAGCCCCTCGAGTGAGCAGCAAGGCCTTGTACCTCTAAGAGCCCAGGGCTCTTTTGCAGGTGTTGGAAGGACCCAGACCATCTTAAATGGAACACCCAGACCCTGCCTCACCCCACTCAGACCTTTCCCCTCAAACCTTCCAGGAAGTTCTGCCGTCCTATCCTGGCTCACCCCTAATGTGGAGGTGCACATCTCTTCTACACTGGGGCCAGGTGCCTAAGAAGGAACAGAGGCAGTGTTTCCCAGACTGAATCCATCTTATCATTGACTAGAAAATTGATTGAGTTGCCTGGGGTAGTCATAAAACCCTTTGCAGAACATTACAAATGTGATAACTTAATGGCTTACTATTTTGCTACCTTAATATGCAGAAATGATAGAAATAATCTATGAATTTTCTCACAGATAAGAACTTTAGTTCTAGTAGACAATATGATATAATTTTGCATGTACCCAATGGGCATTTAAAAAATAGCATAACTTTGAATCCTGTAAAGCTTCTATTCACTGTCCTTTTCAGATTATTTATGCAGTAACTGTAAACCTAAATTATTGATGTTGAGAGGTACACAGGGACTTCGTGGCTCTGTCACATGCCCACACCTTAGTAAAAAGAGAGATGGGTGTGGGGGGCTCCACAAAGCTACCTTCTTTTGTGCCCAGAAAGAAGGTAATAGGGACAGTCAGAAGACTCCCTCTTTCCCCTAGCTCGGGCCTCTCTCGAATGCCTTAGACGAACATACACACACACACACACACACACACACAACCCCAAAGATGGCCGTGGAACTCTCTTACTGCTTCTGCTAGTTTGAGAGAATCCCATGGGTTTTTTTTCTTTTTTCTGGTCTTGAGGCTGTAACCAAGAGGATTCCAAGCCATGTGAGAATTGTCCTGCTTTCTAGAGAGTGGAGTGTGACCCCGGGAGGTCAGAAGCACAGTCTGTTACTAGAAGTCCTGTCTACTCATCAGAGAGACGGCCGGTTCTAGGAATGAAGCGGGACTTTTTGTAACCCAGGGCGTGTTGAATTCTGGGAAACTGTATTTTGGTTTCCTTAACACTTTTAACTATGTGGGGCTTCACCCCCGCCCCCCCCCCCCAGTCTCATTGTCCCTTTCAGTGAAAAGAGACAGACACTCTGGGAGCTGTTCCTGCCCAGTGCTGTATGGTTCCTCACTCACCCAGCCATACAGGTGGTCCAGCGGGCCTTCTTTTCTTTCTTTCTTTTTTTTTTCATGAAGCAATATAAATATAAAATACTTATTTTTTCATAATTAAATGGGTTTCATGAAATGTGTTGGCCACTGCTTTCCTTGTTCTCCATCAAAATTCTTCCTTTGTGTTAGGATTTTTCGCCTTGTATACAGAGGGCTAAAGATTAGCACAGACATTCTGACCTTGAGTAAGGTAGTAGTTCACAGTGGGTGGTAGAGGTCTTGTTTTTCTCTGTTAGGAAGTTGTTAAAGAGTGTATGAAGATAGTCATGAATGTATAGTGTTCGGATCCTGCTTTTAGTTCATGTGGCCGTATCTGTATGATGACAAACGTTTGTCAGGGAATAAAGTGTCCAGTGTCATTAGCGCTCAGTGCCCTTCCCCTTCAGTGTTGAGCCCCAAACTTCCCTTTCCTTTTAAGTTAGGGAGTGAGGGGGTTCATATCAGCAGCAATCATCAACCGACCAATGGGATCTACTTAGTGGTGGCTGGATTTGGCCCTGATCATAGCACAGCGTGGCCACTTGGGTTCTCGTAGAGTTAGCCTCACTTTCTACCATGTTCCCCCAGAGATTGCATCTTGCCTGACCAGGAGGGACCTGGGGACTCCTAGTTGGAGGTCACGGGTCATTCTGAAGTGTGGGGGGTGAGGGCCCAGGGGCTGGTACTGCTGTGGGAAGTCCTTGCCTCTCGTAGATCCAGCCTTAATGTCTGACATCCCAGCATGAGCAGACCCTGCACAAAGTGGGTATCAGAGTTCCTACTGTGAGGAGTAAACAATGAAGACAGTTTTACCAAAGAGAATGAGATACCACGTCATGTCTGCCTGTTACCGTTGATTTGAGTGCACCCTTAGAAAACTGAATGTAACACAAACCCAGGACATTTTTGGAAATTGTATGCTCTTTAGCAACTTTGTGTGAATTTTTATACAAGCACTGTTTTATTAATTATATAAAATATAAAAACAGAAAAACTGTGGTCTCTTAACACTTCATTTCTTTAGGGCTCTCGCCATTTAAGAGTGTGTCTGCACCTGTCTGTCTGTCTGCCTGACTGCACCTTCCTCCCAGTCACAAGGGAGAACATGAGTGTTTGGGGATTTCAGTGCCTGTAACCCAGGTACAGTGAGTGGCAGGACTCCCCACTCTAACACACACCATCGAATGTGACACCCATCTGAACCTTTTCACCTTCCTGGCCGGGCGCCAGCCCTGCCCATCCCAGCAGAGCTTCCCTTGGACCCAATTTTTTTCACTGTGTGTCATGTGGGTTGTAGTTCCTCGAAGCTAACCTGAAAACAAAAAAGATGCATGCTTTCTCTATTTGGCTGATTGAAAATGAGCATGTGTCAGAGTGTAGAGACCACTCCAGATGGCCCAGGTTCAATCTCTGACACCCACATGACAATTCACAACTATCTGTAATTCCAGTTCCAGGGGACTCAGTATGCTTTTCTGGCCAACTTGGCTACCAGAGACATACATGTTGGCAAAACACTCATACACATAAAAAAAAGTACAGCATGCTCTGTCATGCCTGGGGGGAAAGTTGAATTAAGTGGTCTACTGTATGAATATTAAACTGCTCTGTAATAACCTCAGTTGAGAAAGCTTACCTTGGTAAGTGGGAAGAGGCAGATTTCCATATTTGCATGTACTTCTCTGTTAATGATTGTTTTTTCAGGTTTTTGTTTGGTTGGGGTTTTTTTTTTTTTGTTGTTGTTGTTTGTTTGTTTTCTGAAGCAGAGATCGGCTGGCCTGGAATGCACTGGACCAGGCTGGCTCAAACTCAGGTGATTCTCCTGCCTGAGTACTGGGATTCAGACTCAGACCACTGCATCCTGCTGCTTTTCTTGAGATTTGGGTATTGCCCTTCTGACCTCACCCACCTTCCTTGGCCTCCTGAGTGCCCAGGTTATAGGCCTGTGCCCCACCGCGCCTGGCCTGGCTCAATTTAAAAGTCTTTATTGGCTTAATTTTTATTTCTAGATTTGGAAATTTTGCCCCATAGACTAGGGTAAATGTTGGGAGGGGTTGAACAGTGGAAGTGGGTCAGGGAAAGGCTGAGGAAGGGGGGGTAGGGAAGACCAGCCCACTGAGGAAGGAGCTAGCTAGATATGGCAAAGGTTAGAGCTGCCTAGAGTTTAGGCCAGGAAAGGAAGGAAGGGATGCAGTAAGGCCTTACTGCCTCTAGAGGAGGCACATCCATTCTGCAAATGTCTTGGGAGGGCCAGCCAGCTACTAGGCCTGCTCCATAACTGACCAGCCCTGCCCCCATGAGTGCCTGGTTCCACAGCCCATTTAGGCCTGGCAGGAAGGCCCTGATGTTAACAGCACAGAACCTGACAGGTCCTGCCTGAAGCCGATTTGCAAGATGTGCGTGCCTGGGCATGAGCAGATGGGGCCTTGCTGCTGTGTTCTGAAGACAGCCAGGCCATTGCAGGTGTAATGAAGCTGTCCCCTGGCCTGAGGCACAACTTCGGGACTACATGCTCTCCCAACCTTCCTGTTTGTCCCAGCCTGAAATGACAGTAAGTGTGCTGTTTCTGAGGCGTTTCCATCCTTGGGAAATTGTGTGTGGAGAGATACACACACACACACACACACTTCGTTCTGCCTAAGGCCTGTGGCCATTGCTGCTGTCTTCAGGCGGTTAACACGGGCTGCATTACACAAAGTTGGCTTCTACGTTTTAGCTTTTGGTTTCTCTGCTTCAGAATCAAGAGCTAGGATCCCAAAGCTTTTTTGTTTGTTTGGTTTTGTGTTTTGTTGTTTTATTTTTTCAAGGTAGGTTGTGTGTGTGTGTGTGTGTGTGTGTGTGTGTGTGTGTGTGTGTGTGTCCCTGGTGGCCTTGAACTCAGAGATCTGCCTGCCTCTGTCTCCTGAGTGCTGCGACTAATGGTGGGCACCAACACTGCCCAACAGTATTTATTTAATTTTGGTTTTTCGAAGACAGGGTTCCTCTATATTGCTTTGGAGCCTGACCTGGAATTCACTCTGTAGACCAGGCTGGCCTGGAACTCATAGAGATCCATCTACCCACTCTGCCTCCCGAGTGCTGGGACTAGAGGCGTGCACTACCAACACCTGTGGTTTTGGGTTTTTTTTTTTGTTTGTTTTTGGTTTTTAAGAACGTGCATTATATATAGCCCTGACTAGACTGAGACTTGCTATGAAGGACAGGCTGCTGTCCACTCACCTCTGCTTCACAGGAAGTGGGATTGAAAGCGTACTACCACACCCAGCCAAAAAAAAAAAAAAAAAGGTTGATAGGATCTGTATTGTTTAATAGTGACTTTGATTGCAGAAACGAGTATTACCTGTGGAAACCCCTGAAGAGCAAGTGTTCATTTAGATAAGTATTGTTTGCCCCGATGAAGTCTTTTAAGTTTCACCTGTCTATCTCTGGGCGTTCTAAAAAGTCTCAGTGTGTTGGTGCACGCCTGTAATCATGGGAGGCTGTGGTAGAGGACCATAAAGGGGCGTTCTAAAAGTCTCAGTGTGAAGCTGGCAGGCGGTGGCGCACGCCTTTGATCCCAGGCAGAGGTAAGTGGAGCTCTGTGAGTTCGAGGCCAGCCTGGTCTACAAAAGCTACACAGAGAAACCCAGTCTCGGGAAAAACAACAAAACCCCAGGAAACCCAAAGTGTGTTGGTGCATGATTGTCATCGTGCTGCGGCAGGGGATCATGAATTAGAAAGTAAAGTTGAGTGACTGTTGTAGAGCCGGAGAGATTCTGCCAAAAAAAAAAAAAAAAAAAAAAAAAAACCAGGGGCCGAGTGAGGCAATGGGGCCACAGATACCTTGGTGTGTGCTCACGGGAAGCAGCCAACAGCAAAGCAAGCCCGCGCCGTGTTATTGAAGGGAAGTGGGTACAGTCTGGGCCAGTGTCCCTCTGAAAGTGAGTGAGCCGGTGAACGTGGATGGGCGCGGTGTGAAGTAACGGGTTACACACCGGGAAAGAGAGTATGAAATGAGATATGTAACAAAGCATTTATGAAATTCCTGTAAGCAAAACAGTGCAATGCATTTCACAAAAATGATGCCCACTAAACATGTGAAATGGTTGCCCAGGTGGGAGAGGAAGGCAGTGAAAATGTTATCAATAGCGGGGGTGGCGTGGGGGGGGGTTGCTTGGGAAGGACTGGGAGGGGCAGTGTGCTTCCTAAGGAAAACCTCTCATGGGAGTTGGTCAATGTTTAACAGCTGCTGCCCTGCGGGGAACTAAAAAAAGAAAAACCCCCGATCTGCAGTGTTTGCGATTTCCAAAAGCTACTCCGAGGCTGATTCTGAGCAATCCAACTAGCTGTGCGACTCAGAGCAGTTCAGGAGCTGCTCTTCTGGGAATGCCATGTGCCTGTCATGATCCCTGGAGACCAGGCAGCTGTGGACTGGAATTTCTCCGACAGTACAGCAAGCCTTCATAGAGCCAAGGTAAGACAGACATCCGCCTTTTCCCTTTGAGGTAGGTCCATGAACATCCCGTCCACTGAATTTTGTTTGTTTTTGTTTGAGGCAGGGTTTCTCCCTGTAATGGCCTTGGCTGTCCCAGAACTCCCTCTGTAGATCAGGCTGGCCTGCCTCTGCCTTCCGCCTGGGATTAAAGGTGTGCTACCACGGCTCAGCACGGGAATGTGGGGCAGAGACAAGTCTCCATGTCTGTGTAGAGCATAGATGGCAGGAATCTCAGTTTCCTAGAGGATTGTCATTTGGGTAAAAAGCCCAGATGAACCAAACAGGCACAACCATAAAGTACTCATGCCTTTGAACACAGCAGCTGTGCTCACAAAGCAGGGTACATTTACTTTTAACTATTTGGGGTCTGTTTGGTTTTTTTTTTTTTTCATATCACCCACGATACCCCCAAACATTTCATCCTTCCGCTTCTACCAGTCAAGAGCTGGGATTAAAGGCATGCACCAACACATCTAAACAATATATTTAAAATACTTTTCCCGCTTTGTCATCCTATTAGAACAGCTGACACGCTGTTCCTTGTTCCAGCCTTTGCTTGGACATTAAGGGATGTTCGGCACCATCTCCAGGCTCTCCGTTCTTGGTGTCGCTAGCGCCCTGCCCATCATGACAACTAAAACTGTAATTATTGCCAAATGCCCCTAGGGAAAGTGGACAAGTTGCCCCAAGTTGAGAACCATTGCATTGGAGTGTGTCCAGGGGTTGTCTTTGATTAGCTCATTATGTTGGTCACAGTTTTACTGGGGATGCCTTGCCAGGACCACATTAAAAGGCAGCTGTCGTTAGCTTCAGTAATGATGTGACAGAGTGCCATGGATCGTGAACTGCTCTTAAGTTTCTGCTAGTTTTCCTAACTATGTTCCAAGTCCCTCACACTGAAGGCAACTCTTGACAGAGCAATCTTTTGCCACGTGTTATGACCAACTAGCATCATCTGTGATCAGTTCTTAGTTTGGTTTTTAAAACATTTTAAGAGTCATTTCAGTAGTTTTGTGTGTATGGGGAGTGTGGGTATCCTCAGAGACCCTGTATCTCCTGGAGCTGGAGTTACAGGCCATTTGGGCCACCTGGTATGGGTGCTGGGAACTAACGTTGGGTCCACAAGACTAGACGGGCTCTTCACCACTGAGCTGTCTCTCTGGCCCTTGGTTTGATTATTCTGTTTCCCTTTTCCCCCCTCCTGTGACAGGGTCTCATTATGTAGTTCTGGCTGTCCTGGAACTCAGCCTGTAGACCAAGCTGGCCCCGAATTCACAAAAATCCGTCTGCCTGCCTCTGCCTCCCTAGTGTTGGGATTAAAGGCCGATAGTTTGATTTTTAAAAATTGTAGTTGGGAATGGGTCCGACCTGCTAAGCAGTTAAACCAGGTACAGATTACTAACAGCCTTTCAAATGGCCAGCTCTGTGCCAGACAGCAGTGCACACCTGGAATCTAGCAGGTAGACGGCCAAAGCAGGAAGATCTTGCGTTGAAAGCCGGCCTCAGTTACATTCAGAAGCCTTAAAGAAAGCTAATAGCTTCTGCTGCTCCACTTTCTCCTGTCAGGAAGGACTGTGGCGTGCATAGAGATATGGCCATGTTTTGGTTGTGGTGGGCTGTTTTTAGAAGACCTGCTGCTGGATGGTGTGCCCTCACCATCCGAGGCTTCTCGAATTTTCAACTGACTTTGCAAAGAGAAGCTGAGAAGAGGGAGGGATAGGAGATAAGTATGTTTATTGTTCTGTCACAACCTAAGGGTCAGATAGTAAACATTTTAGGCTTTGTAGGTCATAGAAACCGTCTTTTGTGCGTGCCCGTACGTATGCATATGATGTGCATATATATATGTATGCATATGCACATATATATACAAATTTATAAGAGAACATTAAGAAATTTTTTAAACTAAAATTATATTCTACACATATGGGTGTTTTATCTGCATGTATGTGTGTAAACCACATAAATGCTTGGTACCCACCAAGGCCAAAAAAGGGCATCAAATCCACTAGGACTGCAGTTACAGATGGATAATTGCCATGTGGATGCTGGGAATTGAACCCCAGTCGTCTGGAAGACCAAGCTCTTAAGCACTAACATTAAAATGTTAAAGCCATTTTTAGCCTGAGGGCCATTACCAAGCTGGCCTCTGGCTACATTGGTTTAACCTAAAAAGAAATCATTCTCGACGGGCTCTAAGTAGACCAGTTGGAAGTGTGTGTGTGTGTGGGGGGGGGGGGGAAGGCTTTACTCTGGACTGCAGAGAAGGCGAACCCAAGGAGCCAAGACTGGTGTGTAGTAAGTGGTGAAAGGTTCAACCAAACTTGTCCTATCAGACTCTGCTGGCTTTAGCCACAAGCCTGGATCTGAGAAACTTAGTCCCTAGGTGGTAAATATTTAAATAAACAAACACTAAGAAGCCAGCCGTGGTGTTACCTGTCTGTTCTGTAATCCGTGCTCTTCCTTGGGAGTTAGAATCAGGATCAGGAATTCAAGGCCAGTCTGGGCTACGGGAGACGGGTGATGGTACCTCTCCTCTAACCCTAGCACTCGGGAGGCAGAGGCAGGTGGGTCTTGGTGAGTTTGAGGCCAGTCTGGGTTATACAGTGAGACCGTCTGAAAAAGTAAAACGAACCTGCAAAGAAACAAGGCCAATTTATTTTACGATGACCGGAGGTAGTAAATGTGGGAGCCGCAGGCAGGTCAAACGCCCCCTCTGGCCCCGGTCTCTGCAAGACAAGGGAACTCTCAGAAGCACAGTAGAGGCGGAAAGCCTCGGATCCCAGCTTCCACAAACCGCTCCAGTGACTCAGTAAAAGTGTCCTTTTCATGCGGGCCCTTCCTGACAGCCGGGACGCCGCCGTGGGGAGAAGCCTGGTTATTTGGACTTCTTTGGCACCTTCAAGCTCTTCCACCTTCGCAACAGCACTCGGTGCTTGTCACTCTCCGTCTTCTCGCCATAGACGGTTTTCAGGAGAATGCGCATCACGACCTCTGTCCCTGTCTCTTTGTTCTCTCCAATGAGCAGATCCAACGTGTCTCCCACCTTCACCTGAGGACAGAAGGGAACAGCCTTGACGCCAGCCTGGGAAACCTAGGCCATCCAAACAGCCCTGCTTTGTTCAAATGTGGTGGTCGTCATACAGGAAGGGCGGGCGGGCGCCAAGAGCTCAGTCCTCTGACACCGGCACCCTGGGTCTGAACTGCATTGTGGGTAAATGTGCAGGAGGGACTGGAGCCAGCCAGGACCGCCCTCTGACAGATGAGTGGCGGACGGATGGCCTAGGGTGGGAAGGCACCCTCGGGGGACCTGTCTGCAAGTACTGGATGCACCAGGAAGAAACCGGCACTGATTTTTTTTAACCCAGGTGACCTATCTGAACTGGGGATGGGCCTGTTTGTTAAAACATCTGCACCACAGAGCAAGGATTGCCTGTCCTGTGAGCGTGCACTCAGAGAGAGAGAGGCGGCCTTGGTCCACAAGGGAGGACAGCCCAGAAGGGGCAGAGGCAAAACCAATCTTACCAGAGAACACATGGGTGTTTCCTGGTCCAAGCAGCTCAGAACATTAGAGAATCTGACCAGGATTACACCCTGGCCACCCGCTGCTGTTTGTCAAAACATGAGCCAGGACCAACAACTGCTTCTGTGCCGTAAAGCAACTCGTATGTGGGCCGCTGCCTCTACTGAAGGGCCTGGAGACCTGGCCCCTGCCCTTGCCACCTCCCAACTGCGCTTCCAGGGGGTCTGACACCCTGGTCTGGCCTCCAAGGGCACCAGAAACACACATACTATACATGTGGGCAAAACACCCATTCACATAAACAAAAACTAATTTTGAAAAGTATCTTGAAAATACATAGCTTAGAACTGGCACATTTTATCCCAGTTCACTTGAAAGTTTCCTAGATTTGTTTTATGCATGGATCTTTTGCCTGTGTGTATGTCTGTATGCCATGGGCAAGCCTGGGAGTCAGAGATGGAATGCATCCCCTTGGAATCGGAGTCACAGGCAGCCACCATGTGGGTTCTGGGAATTGAACTCAGGTCCTCTGGAAGAGCAGCAAGTGCTCTTGGTTGCTAAGCCATCTCTCCAGCCCCCAACTTAAGTTGTTAAAAGTTTGATTATTCTGGGAGTGGGGCCTGTGTGGAGGGGGAGGAGAAGAAAAGCTCCATTAAAATACAAGGGTAACTAGTAGGGAAGGGGAGGAGGGGGAGGGCATGGGAGGAGTGTGGAAGTGAACACAATAAAAATTCATCACATGCAGGTATGAAACTGCCATAATGAAATGACTATGAATAATTAATAAGCACTAGTAAAAGCATTTTTAAAAAGGAAAAGGAAAAAGTGAGCTCAGAGGATTACTCTTAGCCCACCCCACCCTGGGAGCCAAGTTTAGGACAGCATCAGTCCCCATGCTCAGGCTTGCAGTGTGATGCACTGTCGACCCACCTGGTTTTCAGAACACAGAAAACCTTTGCTGGGCGCGGGCAGGTGGAGTCAGGGGAGTTGAGCTGCAGACACAGACAAGCTGGCGCTGGCTCCATGGAGCAGGCTGGGGGAAGCAGGCATGTTTTATTTAGTCCCATCCAAGGCCTGGTCCTCTCAGGCACAAAGCAAAACTGGCTGGGATTAGTGGCTGTTTCAAATATCTACATTTCAAATCTCCCCTTAGCTGCAGTTTCTATGGCTACCAGGCCTCCTAGTAACAAGGCAGCCGAGTGTTAATACTGGCCTCTGCCTTTGCTGACCCTCTGGAGAAATCTGGAAAGCAGCCGACACACAGAACACCCAAGGCAGAATGAAGCTCAGCAATTAGGCTGTGGCTAACGACCCCTCAAAGCAAGGGAAGAACAGCAGCTAATGAAGTTTGCACGTGGGCTGCAGCAGAGGGGGGTGTTCGGAAGGTGAGGCTATGCAGTAGCGAAGGCAGACCAGCTAGTGAGGGAAGCAGCAGCGGGGTGGAGAGGGGCCCATCCAGGGTCACTGAGCAATGACTGACAGGTCATTCTGCCCTGCCAGCCCAAGGCTAGCAGAGCTCTTTGGCCTTGACTAGGAGTTGAGACAAGAATGGATGAAGTTTCCCCTTTCTGTGCGCTAAGGTGGCAGCAATGGACTGCATGACCCCCGGAGAAAGGACTTGAAGGAGCCTCATCAGTGTTCAACAATGCAGAGGACACACCGAATGTTCCACATCCCAGGGCAACTCGGGGTAGCTCAGATCCTGCTTAGCAGGCCTGTGGTACATGCAAGAAAAATAAAAGCTACTCTTCCAAACTGTTTCGGCCTCTTCATTAACCCTCACTACTCATTGCTAATAGGTTAGGCTTCTAAGCATGGCCTTAGGCTTAGGTTTTAAGCACTGTCCCCCCTCTCCCCAAGAGACAGGTTTCCTATATTTGAGGCTAGCCTCCAACCCACTCTGTAGAGGGGTATGGCCTTCTGACCCTCCTGCGTGCTGGGGTTAGAGTTTATATGCTGCTGAGGGGCTGAACCTAGGGCTTCTTCACAAATGCCGGGCAAACACTCTATCAGCTGAGCTACAGCCCTGTGTCAAGCTTTCAATTACAGATTCCTTTTTTTTTGTTTGTTTGTTTTTGTTTTTCGAGACAGGGTTTCTCTGTGGCTTTGGAGGCTGTCCTGGAACTAGCTCTGTAGCCCAGGCTGGTCTCAAACTCACAGAGATCTGCCTGCCTCTGTCTCTCAAGTGCTGGGATTAAAGGTGTGTACCACTGACGCCCATCAGTTATAGATTTCTTGTATCTTCTTTATTAAGTTTTGTTAAGTCATATAATCTTATGGTTAAAAAGCATGGTTGAAACCTGATGTTGGTGGTGCACACCTTTAATCCCAGCACTCGGGAGGAAGAGGTAGAGGCAGGCAGATCTCTGAGTTCCAGCTCAGCCTGGTCTACAGACGGAGTTCTAGGACAGCCAAGGCTATACAGAGATAGCCTGTCTTATATTTATGGTTATGGGTCTAGCCTTTAATGGCTGAGCAATCCCTCCAGCCCAAGAAATCCTGGCTTGAAAAACCAAGAACTGAGAAGCATGGCTGAGGGGCTGAAGAGAAGGCTCATCAGTTAAGAGCACTGGCTACTCTCCCAGATGACTGGGTTTCATTCCCAGCACCCACATGGCAGCTCTCAACTGTAACTCCAGTTCCAGGGAATCTTCTGACCTTCTCTGTCAGGAGCTGCATGCATATGCCCAAACAAAGGACACACCCACATAGAGTAAGAGAAACCGAAAAGCCTTAATATGGCCCGTAAGAATCTAAGCTAAGTACTAGTAATATTTAATTAAAAATATATGTAACATCTGTTAACATTGTTTGCTTTGTTGAAATACAGTCTGGGCTAGCCTGAACTAGGTGAGTAGACTTGACTGGCTGAATCTGTGGCAATCTTCCTGATGCCTTCCATGGTGTGTGTCACCCATGTCTACTGCTACCTGCCATGATTCCATGGGGGTAACATTAATACCTTAGAAGTCTGAGGGTAGCTTATTCCAATTCCAAGACAGTGGCCGGTGGATGATTCCCATGCATGATCATGCATGATCAGCACCTCAGAGAAGGCGTCAGGGCCCAAGGGAAGTTGGGGACAGACTGACTAGCAGGGAACAGACAGGGCCATGGATAGGCTGTCATTACAGGCTGGATGGCTCACCGTTCTGCTCTTCTTCCATAATTTCTCTCCGTTCAGCCTGAGTTCGCCTTTGTAGAATGCATCTTCTACTTTGCTATTAAAAAGAAGAAGAAGAAAAAGACTTAAAATGTAAATACATTCAACAATCACACAGCTTTGAGGAAAACACCAGCTATCAGTATCCCCTCAGCGAGTCCCCACGAAAACCCCTGCATTTGAGTGGAAAATTTGACATGAAAGTGGCATCACCCACAGGCACCAGAGAGACCTGCGATTCTGATTCTGAAGGGTGGGTGGGCGGCTGCATGGCACTAGCCCAGTGAATTGTAATGGCAGAGTGAGTGGGTCTTTCCTACGTTCAGTGTCCTGCTCTGCGCTGGGACAGAACCCAGACACCACACACATACAGAGATGGCATTAAGGGACCCCGTGTGCACTGGGATTGAGTAATTCCAATGTGACAGCCTTTCACCTCAGTGTGAACCACTGATGACCAGAGAAGACAAGACACAAAGCCTTCCTTCTGATGACCTGACTCACGGTGATGGACATCAGGGCTCAGCTCAATAAAGCAACAGCCACTGGATATAGAACATCTAGCAGAGAATGACTGGGCCAAAGAAATCTCAAAATTCACACTTCCGGGCACTGCATGGGACTCAGGGTTTACAACAGCTACAACACGAGGGCCTACTACTACACGATAGGCCCACTTACGATACTTTACACAGATCTTAATCCTAGAGGCTCGTCCTTGCAGTCCCAGCACCAGGGAAGCTGAAGCTGGAGGATTTCGGTGAGTTTGAGGCCGTCAGGAACTAAATCGCCAAGTTCTAGGCCAGCATGAGCTAGAGTGATGACATGGCTTTAAAAGGTGGAAGACGAAACTCACACGCTGGAACCAGAAAGCAGCCTTCTGACTGCACACAACACAGCATGCACACCGCTGCCTGTCAGCCATTCATGTCAGACATTTTATAAATAATTATTTCTCCCTGTGTGTGCTGGCTGCCCTGGAACTCACTTTGTAGACCAGGCTGGCCTCAATAATAATTTTTAAAAAGGAAAAGAAACCCTAGCCATTGCCCCTGTTCCCTAAAGTAACTTCTGTTAGCCCCGTTTTACAGGGGAAAACGGTGCATAGCATGCCAGTACTGTGCATAAAGTCTGGAGTACTAGTAGTTTGGCCCATTTTATTTTTGTTTTTGTGGTTTTTTTTTTAAAAGCACGGCTTTCTTTGAATAGCCCTGTGGCTGTCCTGGAAATCACTGTGTAGAGCTCTTACGGAGATCAGCCAGCATTTTTTGTTTTTTGAGGTGGCACCTTAGCATGTAGTGTAGGCCCACAGGCCCACTTCCAACTACCTCAGGGCCCTGAATTAACCTCAGGTGCTTGGATCGCAGTGTGACCCAGCATGCTAGTTCAAGAAGCCGCATGTGTGAGTGAGACAGAGACAGACAGAGAGAGAGAGAGAGAGAGAGAGAGAGAGAGAGAGAATGCATGCCACAGTGCGTCTGTGACAGAGAATACTCAGGGGAAGCAGCTCTCCTGTTCCTCCTGGGATCAGGGGCTAGGGCTCGCTCAGGTCTGTAGTCTATATGCAGCCTTACCCACTGAGCTACTTCACTGGCCAGAAACTGCATCTTTTTTTTATTTTTATTGATTATTGCATATGTATATGAGTGAATGACTGTGGGCACATGTGTACCATTGCACATGTATGAAGATCTGTAGACAACCAGTGGGAGGAGTCAGTTCTTTCCTTATGCTCTGTGGGTCCCGGGAACTGAACTCAGGTCATCAGGCTTGACACTGAAGTACACTCACCCACTGAGCTAATATGCTAGCTTCTAAACCTGTGTCCTTAACCAGCATCTCCTGTTCCTGCCATTGATTCTGCATGTAGTTTCTTGTACTGTAGTACACGGGAAATCAATAGCTACATATCTCTGATAAACTGAACCCTTCTCTTTCAGAGGCTGTTACTAGGGGCAGAGGCATTGTTCAGCAATAGGACACTTGCCCACCGTGTACAAGGCTCTGGGTTTGATCCCCACCACTGTGGAGAAAAAGAGAGAAATATGTCATTACGTCAGTGACTCAGAGCACACCAGCTGTGTGTTGGGATCAAAGAAACATGGCACATAGGGTTTAAAGGCAGTCAGGTGTTCTCTCATCGGTAGAGTGACGTAATTGGTACAGGTCACCTTTCACATCTCTGGTTATTATTCCCCTAACACAGGCTGGGTGCTTGTCATGGCACATTACACTAACCAGACAGGTGGTCCATTATACTCACTTTCTCCCAATGTCAAGGCCCGTCTTCAGGATAACGTCATACCGGAAAGACTGTACCGCCTTCTCCAGGTCTTTGTAGTCCTTGACCACACCGGGGCCACCCTCAAGCTCCTCTTCTTGCTCCTCCTCCCACTCAGGGTGATGGGTCTCCTCGTCGGAGTCCTCTTCATCTGCATCTTTTGGCAGAGTCTTTTTAGTGGAGTTTTTGGAGCTGATATTGCTTTTGAGTCGTATGGAAAACGGAAAAATACATTTTGGAGATACTAAAAGTCTCGCAGGGAGACTGTTACGGAAAAGTGTTTTACAATTTGATGTGTTTAACTTGGTACTGGAAAAATATAAGTATCGATTGCAGGAAGCACAGAGTTTGTGTGGAGATGTCCCTTGAAGCACACGCCAGAGTCTGAGAGCACCAGCAAGCAGTTTACCACCAGTCACAGCCATGCTGGCACACCCTGCAATGGGAAACAGCTGAGCATTATTCACTGGCCAGTGCTCAACTGTGTTAGCACACGAGCATGACACACAGGCCCTGGACAACAGCACCGCTGCCGTCAGTCCGTCCACCCAGGCTGAGGGCCACACACACTAACTATGTCGAGCCAGCCTTCCAGCTACAATCGCCATGCTTACTCACGGGACCGTCTCAGGGATCCAGGGAGACACAAAACTGCAAACAGTGATTCTAATCTTCCTTGCCCTAAACAGCTCTGGGTATTGATTACAACTGAAAACATATTACTAGTAGTTGTTAATGATTTGTTAAAATAAAGACTAAAGGAAAAACAAAAAGGTTGGATGTGGTGGCACACATCTTTAATCCCAGCACTTGGGAAGCAGAGGCAGGCGGATGGATCTCTTGTAGATCAGCCTGGTCTAAACGAGCTAGCTCCAGGACAGGTTCCAAAGCTAAACAGAGAAACCCTGTCTTGAAAAACAAAACAGAAAAAACAAAAGAGTTCATAAAATCCAGAGTGAATCTCTCAAACTTATTTCAACCTAGACCCTAGCCAATCAAAGCTAAGAATGAGCACAGCAGCCTGATCTGCGTTTCCCCTTCTTACTGTTCTTCAGGGCCAGACAGGGAGGAGGGGAGTGGCCCATACATTAGGCAGTCATCTCTGGACCTGACAGACAGCATCAAATCCTACTTACCATAAACACAACAAAACCATACAGGGGTGGCAGATTTTCCCGAACATCACCATGGTAAAATTGTTTCTTTCTCTCCCCCTTGTCTGTCTGTCTGTCTATCTATCTATCTGGCACAGAAGCTCTGGCTCAACCCTGGCTTTCCTGGGACTCACTGTGTAGACCAGGCTGGCCTCAAAACTCAAGAGATCCACCCGCCTCTGCCTCCTGAGTGCTGGGATTCAAAGGTGTGCGACCACATAAGGCCAAGATGACTTTAAAGGCCATGCTTTGCTAATAAGGAAGATTCCACATGCTTAGGTGGATACATACATAAAACCTGATGAGCTCTTGGGCAGAAGTCTCACATCTCAAGTCTGAGGCGGGCCTCCTTTATTTCAGGGTTATACTTTATGACTCACCGGCAAGAAGCAGGCTGAATTTGGGGTTTTGCAGGGTTTTGTTTGTGTTTTGATGCACTGTTGAAGGAACTGCTAAGCTGAACCGGTCAGTGTAAGGTGTAAGGTTTTTCCTCTCACCGCCAGTCTTGTTTGCTTTTTGAAATTTTCTTTTTTAGATTTGTTTGTTTCATGTGTGTGAGTGTTTTGCATGTGTGTCTGTACACCAGCTGCATGCTTGGTGCCTGTGGAGGTCAAGAAGAGCGTTAGGTACCTGGAATCGGAACTGAGCCATCACCTGGGTGCAGAAATCAAACCCAGGCTCTCTGTAAGATCAACAAGTGTTTTCAACCACTGCACCATTATCCAGCTCTTGTTCCGTTTCCTGAGACAGTTTCATTCCATAGCCCAGGCTGGTCTGGAACTCACTGTGTAGCCCAGTTTTGCCTCTAGCTAATGAGTGATCCACTTGCCTCAGCCCCAAGGTGTGGAGATTACAGGCCTGGGCCACCCTTCAGGCAAGAAACTATATTTCCATGTATTCTAGTTTACTGGAGACCTACCTAAGAAAGATTTTTAATTTTATAGAATTAAGATAAAGAAAGACAATCACATATTTCTTTTTCTTTCCTCTTTCTTCTTCTTTTTTTTTTTTTTTTTTTTGATACAGGGTTTCTCTGTGTAATCCTGGCTGTCCAGGAACTCACTCTGTAGGCCAGGCTGGCCTCAAACTCAGAGATCTGCTTGCCTCTGCCTCCCAAGTGCAAGGATTAATGGTGTGCGCCACCACTGCCCAGTGACAATAGCATATTCTACACTGGGGATGTAGTCCAGTTGTAGAATGCTTATGTAGCATGCGCAAGGCTCTATTTGGTCCTAGCACTGCAGAATGAAGGAAAACATACTTCTTTCAGGAGTGCCAGACTCTAGTCCATGGGTGTCCACATTCTTCATCATAAATCCTAGCTTAGGACAGTTAAGGGTGCTTGCCACCTCAGCCTGAGTTCAGCCCCTAAGCCCACATGGTGGAAGGAAGGAGCTGACCCCCACAGGGTGTCTGTTCCCTGACCTACACACACACCCGTGAGCACAAATACCAAGTAAAGGGTTAAACATTACAGAGCCCTTGCTTTGCAGCATGTTTCTGCTTCCTCTCAGCGTCATCTGCAAGTGTTTCTTTCTGTACCCATCCACCACCGACAGCATCGTTAGAGATTTATTTACTTCTGTTTTATTTGTATGGGTGTTGCCTGCATGTGTGTCTGTGCCCTGTGTACATGTAGTGCCCACAGAGGCCTTAAGAGGTTGTTGCTGGAATTACAAATGACTGTGAGCCACCATGTGGGTGCTGGGAATTGAACCCAGATCCTCTGGGAGAGCAGCCAGTGTTATCCACTGAGCTATCTATCTCTCCAGCTCCACAGGCAGCATATTTACCTACACTAGGGAAGATTCTAGCTGAAGACATCAACTTATATCATATCCATGTGTAAATATATCAAACGTTTCAAGCATTAAGCCAAATGTTACCTTTATTAGCTACTCACTCTCTCTCAGTGATCTCCTTCACTTCCCAACAGGCAAACATCCCACACGATGGAAGTCTACATAAAAACGTAGAAAAACCATGAAGTTGAGAGAAGGCATTATCCTAGATAAGGGAGGGACATGAGAACCCAGGAGAGCCCTGAGTAAGGCGTGGGGTGTCTGAAAAAGTGACTGGCCAGGTTCTGCAGCTCCTCTTAAATCAAAGCAGCCAATGTTGGGTTCTTACGTTCCATTTACAGAAAAAGGAAGCTGGGTGCGGTGGAAACACATATGTAATTCAGCACTCCAGAAACAGGATCAGGAGTTCAAGGTCAGCCCGGGATATGGGATACAAGAAAAAAAAAAAACAAAACAAAACAAAACCAAAACAACAACAAAAACCCAAATGGGGCAGATGGCACTTGCCAGTGATCCCAGCATTTAGGAGTTTGGGGTCAGGCTGGTCTTGGTCTCCACAGCAAGTTCCAGGCCAGCTAGGTCTACACAGGAGAACCTATCCAAAGAGGTAAACAAACATAAAAGGATTCTAGGGGCTGCAGGATGACTCAGTGCTAACAGCACAATCATAAGGACCTCAGTCCGAATCCCTCACCCATGTAAAGGACCGTCATGGCTGTGGTGCCTGCAGTTCCCAGGCTTAGGGAAGCAAGGACATTCGGAGAGCTAGCTCACTAACCAGCCAGCCTAGTCACAGTGGTGAGCTCCGGTTCACTGAGACCTGGGCAGGCTCAAGGCGATGAGGTGGAGAGGGAAACAGCTGATGGACCTGCCTGACATTGCTTCCACATCCCACGCACGCTCTCCTAAAAAGGGTTTGACAACTCACAGTTTCTTTTCCTTTGGTGTGGTCCCTGATTGCCCCAACTCCTCTGTCATTCCCTACCATCTGTCTGTCCCTTTCCAGGCTCTGGTAGCACCAATATGGCTTTTGCCATCCCTGAAAACCTTTGACATAAGGCTTCATGTACTCTAGGCTGCTGTAAACTCACCAAGTAGCAAAGGCTACCCTCGAACTTTTGATCCTTCTGCCTCAGCCTCTAGGATACTAGAATTACAGGCATGGACTACTATACCTGGCTTCTGTGGCTTTAAATCCTTGCCAAATTCCAGACTTGTACACCTGAGTGGAGCTGGTATAAAAGACCTTTGGCTGCTCTTCGTAGGAGGCCAGCTGCCAAGTTGGTGCTGACCAGAGTCTTTGGACTTGAACTTCAGCAGAGTTCTCTGAACCCCCAAACAGAAAGGAGTGGGCTTCCCGTGCTGAAACTGTGATCGGTTTCTGCTAAACCTTGAACTGTTCTGCATGATGCCACGGCAGACTGGTAGATAGCATCACGCCTGGTTTCCTTCTCTTTGCCCCAGGCCTCTACCCTTCCCGTACTTTCCTTCATAAAGCTGTGCAGTAACAAATCAGCCACAACTAAGTGCTAAGACCTAGGCATCTTCTTTGTTAACTAACAGATATAGTGTCCAAATGAATGTCTGACATGACCACATGCGTGACTAAAGGCACCTCAGGGGTAGTCAGGAGTCAAACTCCTGACCTCAGACCTCTCCACCCGGAGCTCTTTTTCTCGGTTAATGTAACATCACCCTTCTGGAGGCTTAAAACAAAAGCCAGCACTTTTTCTTTTGTCCAGGGAGGCTCTTGTGAAGCCCAGTTGTCTTTACATTCACAGCCCTCCTGTGGATGGGTGCTGGGATGACAAATATGTCCTGCCATGTCTGGCTTATAGTGATTGTCCCCTCCTTGCTTTGAGACACAGTCTCAGGTAGCTCAGACTGGCCTTGAACACTTCTGTTCCACCTCCCAAGTGATGGGGACTACGGCTGGACTGGTCTGTTTATTTATGTCAATTACTGTTGAAGATGTGTATGTCAGGGTGTGTGTGCAGGTTAGAGGGCGTCTTCCAGGAGTCAGGGCTCTTTCCACCTTGCTCGTGAGGTAGGGTCTCTTGTTCCTGCCTTATCTTGTACTCCAGGCTACTTCTCTTGTCTGCCTTTCACTCGGGATTACAGACACACACCACACATCTGGCCTTTCTGCGCGAGTCTTCAGGCTTGGCACAGTGCAATTTCAGGCCAGAATGACCCACAAAGCAGACTGTCTATAAAACCAAACTCCTCAAAAACACTCAAAAGACTCTTCTGGGCCTGGTGGGACAGGAAGACGTGAAGTCCAACACTTGCCTAGTCCACGGAGTATGTTCATGGCCAGCCTGGGTAACTTAATGACAGCCTGAGAATTAAGAAAGGTGTTCCTGGCTGGGAGGCGGTGGTGCATGCCTTCAATCCTAGCACTCAGGAGGCTGAGGCAGGTGAGTTTGAGGTCAGCCTGGTCTATAAAGCTTTCCAGGACAGGCTCCAAAGCTACAGAGAAACTTTGTCTCC